GTACCAGAAACGTGTGTTGACATAGAATTTCGTCCCGTGCTGAGGGCACACGAGCAAGCCGGAAGGGTCCATTCGATGGAGCTGGAGATCCGCCTAGCTTCAGCGCAGGGGTGGTCGATCCTGCACACTCCTCCTGAAACGTGCCAGTCAATTTGACCCTACAATTAACAATGAGAGAAAGTTTATCAGTAATTAAGGGTGGAACATGCCGGTGTTGCCAGACAGTCCCGAATGTGTGGTTCTGAGAGCCGATATAAAAGGAGATCAACTAAATAGTCAATTCCAGCATATTCATAAGAATAAATCTGTTAGAGCTCATGGGGTTGTGTAAGAAGAATCGGTTATCGTTCAGGATGAATATCATTCTTTAAACAAATATTGGTCAATGACAATAAGATATTAACAATAATTAGTTCATGCTAAGCCAATGACTGCAAGTAACCGAAGTCCTTTATAAAAGAAATAGTTCATCATCATTCAATCATTTAATAGAGATAAATCTAATGAACATATTAGATCTCATCTATCGCTATAACCAGTGGGGCATGAGGCAGAATCATATAGGCCGTAGAAACAACAATAGACTCGACGACCCTAACTTATTACTAATATATTAGGGGGCATGAGGCAAAATCAATAGGTCGTAATACAATAATAAGATCATGGGGCTTACACATCTTTCAACCTATCGCTACTTCAACGATCTCGTGATACGAACTGTTCGTGAAAGCGCTCGATATCGGCTAAAACAACCGATTCAGGCATAGCGCACAGTTAAGGTCATGTCCTCTTAGGAACAGATCTACCAAATAACGATCCCCACTCCACGGTGCTAACAGTGGGGTGTGAGGCAGAATCACACAGGCCATGATAACGGGCCATGGAACAGTTTTCGCTAGCTAATAGATAAGATCAAACATGCCTTAACCGTACGCTATGCACGATCAAGATTGATGTAAAATAGCCGATAAAACATAACTCATCGTTTAAAGTGCAGATTTGATCAGTTTAGATTAACAAACGATGGGTTAAAAAAGATATAAGGCCGATTTAGATCAATCCCAATTGGACGAAGTGATATTGTTGTAATTAAATAAATAATGGAAGCAAAAAGCAATATCGGTAACTTAATGAATCTATCCGAAGGAACGCCACCCATAGATAGAACCGATAACTTGACCTTAATCTAGTTCGAGCAGTGGAGGTCGACCGGATTGATGCAGCCGTACTTGAACTTGATAAGAGTCGATAACTAACTTATACCAGAGTCGCAGTGGAGGTCGACCAGATCGATACAGCCGTACGAACAGAGGTATAAGCCATGACGGTACTTACAGACAAGCAGTGGAGGTCGACCGGATCGATGCAGACGTACTTGCTAAAGAACTCGTCGAGATCTACTCTACTCCTACTCCTAAGGGGTGGCCGGAGCCAAAAAAGTAAATAACTTGTATTAGATTAATTATGTGTCTTTACAATAGCCGGGGTTTGATATTTATACCCGGAGCCTAAAAACGAATCCTACTTGAGTACGACTCAGTACAATCTTTGGTACGAAGAAAACATTCCTATTTTAAGATAACTTGGACTCTAATGTTTCCTCTTTTGTAGAGTCCAATATGTATCTTCTCGATGCCAATCATATCTCATCATCATTATCTGCTGACGTAATAGAACCGATCCCAGTGTCGCATCCGGCAGATATCAATCTTTACGCAATCGACTCCTTGATTGGCACAATCATGGAAGCCTGCGAGTTCCCGCGCTCTTCTCCCAAATTTTGGTGTAAACAGATATCATCAACATATATTTGACACACAAATAGATCTTTGCCAATTTTTTGGTGAGTAGAGTGGTGTCAAGTCAAGCTCGGGAATCTACTTCAAACCATAGGAATTTTCTAATAACTTGTACGCATGGTTATGATTCTTTGAATCTTCAAAAGTGCGGAGTTTCTCAATATATACTTGCCCATTGATCTTGTTATTTAGAGAAGAACTTTTGACATTCATTTGATATAGCTTGATATTGTGTAAACATGCAAATGCTAACAAGATTCTATCAATCTTGATGTATATATGATTGGTGAACCTTACAATCTAGTGGCGAAGCTATAGTGTTTGTTGTGGGTGTGGATGCACCCACAACAAAATGGAAAATCAATGACTAGGATTAAGTTTTTACCATGGTTGCGACTCAAATCCCTCCAAATCCATACACATAAGACAAATGCACCCTTCTTTGATTTGCTCTAGTTTCTGTCAGTGTTACAGTCATCATCTTTTTTGATTATAGCTCAATATACTTTTTATTAGTTTCCGAAAATTGAATCTTGTTTGGAAATATTAGTAACAATTTTTTAACTAAAAATGAGCAAGAGATACCCTAGGGCTCATCAATTCACATCTCTAGTCAATCTTACGTCGATCTTGGTTTCAAGTTGGTGTTCATAGATATTGGATATATTTACGTGGATTTATAGGGGAGGTGAGCATCTTTGTTTATTTATATTATACTAGCAAACACCCCTGTGCGTTGTAACGGGATTAAAAGTCTCAAATGTTTGACTTGTTTGCTTTAGCTAGCTGCACAACTGTTGCAACTTAATTTGTATAGGTGCTACTAGTTGCTACAGCCACAGTGATTGTTGCAAAGATCACAAGCGACCAGGCCTGTTAATGGAAAATGAGGACGAGAATGTTATCTATATATTTATTTGTTATCCTTTCTATAAAATTTTAAAACTATAATTAATTTTATGATGATCATGGCATCCACAAATTAATATTGGCAATAATATAGCATTGTCCTGATAATTTTGTATCAAATAAAAATACAACCTTAATAGATTTTTGTTATAGATAGATTTATTTCTCTCGTTGCAAGGAACAGAAATACACTTTGATTTGGCTGGGTGAATGGCAAAATTTTGGCTCTTTAATATTAGATATAGATAGTTAAAACCATAGTCTCAAGCTCACCTAATAAACAGATAAAGAAAGGAAAAATGATATTCAAGTATAGTATTTCGATAATGATAGCACGTGGGCGTCCATCCCGTCCGAACGCCGCGCATCTGGGCCCCTACGGCCCAATAGAGCGATCATGCCAAAAAAAAAAAAAAAGCCGCATCGAGTCACTTCCTCCGACCCTCACCATTCCCACACCACACTCAAAGATCTTCCCCTCCTCCATGCCCCTCTCGCGTCGCTGCGATGGCCGACATGGCCCTGAACTAGCCGCCGGACGTGGCCCCATCCCCGTCTCTGGCTCCAGTGACACCGCCGGCCCCCGCCACCCCGTCCCCCCGGCGCTGCTCCGCCCGCGGCGGGAGGCGTTCGAGCATAGGCTCCTTCCCATCCCCAAGCTCATCTTCCTAGAGGGCACATCGGCGTAGACCCTCGCTCAGCTCAAGGAGAAGCTCGCTGCCTCAGCCCACGACAGTGCTGCAGATCCCACAGGAGCAGACACTAGCGCCCGGGCTGAAGCAAGCCGCTGACCCTTCCCTACCCCGACCGGTAGTGTCCTCCCCAGATCCGGCAATGTCTCCTCTCCCTCGGCCGACGACGGGCATGGCGGGGGCGTGCGGGGCGCGCACCATCCAGCGAGCCTGCGCCATCGCAATTGCCCACCAGGTAAGTTGTGGCCGTGTGGCGATGATGTCTTTTTCAAGTGTTTCTCGATGCTTTTTCAGACATGTTGCAAGCGCATGTTTCAAGTGTTTCAGTTGTTTCAGATGTATGTTTGATGCAGATGTTGCAAGAGTAGATTGGGATTTTGCATATGTTGCAATGATTGTACAAGTATGTTGTAAAAGTTTGTTCCCAACGTTTTATCTGTTTTTTCAGATGTATGTTGCAAGTATGTTTATCTAGATGTTGCGTATATTTCACTCATATATTGCAAGTGTTTTATCTGGATGTTGCGTATATGTTGCAATGGTTTTTAAGTGTTTCATATGTTTTTTGTAAGTGTTTCAACGCATGATTCAAACATTTTATCTGTGTTCATACGTATATTGCAAGTGTTATATCTAGATGTTGCATATGTTACACTGGCTATACACGTATGTTGTAAGTGTTTTATCTGTATGTTGCATATATTGTAGTGCCCATACACATATGTCGTAGGCAGAGGTGGCCCCCTCGGGACACAGCGGTCCCCGCATGCACAAAGCGGGGTGTGGAGCACAAAGCCGGCTTGGAGCACCAAGCTACGTGCATGCTGGGCTGCTCTCTCTCTCCTTGTTCTAGCCGGATGCGGCCGGTTAGCAGCAGCATGATGCACTAGTAGCAGCATGCGAGCAGTAGGAGTGCGCGGTCAGACGTGAGGCTGCTCCTAATGGTAGCGGGTGCTATAATTTTTCCTCAGCCCCACAAGTGGTCAAATCGGGATGCGGGCGCTGCAAGCAGCAGGCACGGGACGTCCGGACACGCTGCTGGCGCCGGACGTCGGGGATTTAGACGTGCCCATAGTAATTTTGGTTTAAAGGTAAGAAAAGAAAAAAACAATTTACAACCTCAACTGCATTTAACACATTTTGCCTTTTCAAACTCCCATACAAAATATGGACTTGATTTACTACCTCGAACTATCCTCCGAGTTAGAGCAAATACATAATCACGTGAATCCTTCTTTGTCCGTGCATACACGCCAGCACGCTAGCGCTACTTCGTCGTCGTAGCTACTACCGACTACTCCTAGTTCTCACGTCACTGTAACGTCCGCATCTCACTCTCCCCCCACCCCCAGCCGACGCCGGGACAGGCATCAGCTTCCCCTCCATGCTCCGGCTGGAGCAATATCTCCGGTTGCTGCCGGCGACCACCCACGCCACAGCGCCTGCGTTGATCTCGGCTTCCTCGTCCCTCTCCTATCCTCTCCCGATCCTCAGCGCCCTCCGGCTTGCCTGCTCGCGTCCTCCCCCGCTCAGAGGCAAAACGTCGAGCGCCTTGCGCGCCTCGGCGGAGCCGGACGCTACGGTGAAACGCGCGCCCGAGATGGCCCAGCGGGAGGTGGCGCGGGCGGTCGCGGATCAGGCGGTTGCGCGTTTGGGCGCGCGGCTGCTGCCGTCCGCCGTGCCTGCCGACGTCGCCGAGTTCCGCAACGGCGCCGGGAACGCCGTCGGCTCGCTCGACGTGCACCGGGGCTCGCCTGGCTCGTCGGTACACTTCTTTAGTACTCCTCTTTCTTTTTTCTTGTAGTAGTGCTGTACCGTATTAGTATGATACAGCTTCTTGTGTGGTTACATACCACAAGATAAGGGCATACTACTATATTGCTCTGTAAGATATTCAAGAACTTATTTACTTAATCCAAAGTTCAGTAGTAGTGTAGTAAGTGCATAATACGGTTCATTGGATCTGCAGTGTGGCTTGGCATCGCATAGTATGTGATTGCACCATTTTTCCTTGGTATATGCAAATACACACACCACCTGTCCACCTCATGATATGGCATCTGTATTGAATGTCAAAACATTGCTTGTGTTTCAGTTCAGTTCAGTATGGTTTCGGGCACTTACTGACCACCTACTTGATTGTGGGAGGGTATTTGCCTTGGGTAATTGTTGTCCACTGATCCATTCAAGGCGAATTGTCAAAGTTTTAGATGCAAATATTGCTAATACAACTCTACCAAAGCATCTTGTCAGTTATAGATTAACACTTGTCCATTTGAGTCTTAGAGTATTGTTGTGTGACTGCTGATTTCCTGATAAAGAAACAACTGCTGAATTGACACCGGCGATGATCCATCCTGGTGCTTGTCAATACTGAAACTGTAATCGCAATCCAATCTGAATATCACTGTCATATCTGCTGTTGTCCTTGAGCTGATAGTTCAATCTGAAAATGTGATTTCAGTCATTGAAAATAATAACAATGTCATTGAGAATGGAAGAACAATCTCTTGTTATAAAAAGCTTGCACTTTTGCTACTGTTGTAAGATGTAGAAAGAAATGATGACCGGACCTGATGTGTGTTTCCTTGTCTACAGATTGATTTCATGCTGCAGTCCTCGCTTCACTGTGAAGTTCCAAATGGTGCCATTGACATCACCTCAATTCTTATTTTCCTGAATGCCTCGACGGATGCACCACATTTCCAATTGGAGCTTATACAAGGCAGCTCAACTTCAATCGTGGTGATTCTGGACCTGCTTCCCCGGAAAGACCTCGCGTTCCACCCAGACTACTTGCAGAAGTATTACGAAGAAAATCGAATGGATGAGCAGCGTGGAAAGATCGAAGAGCTACCGCAGACTCATCCATACAGATCTCCGTCACTCTTTGTGCGCAGCGCATGCTCACCTACAGCAATAATGGTCAGCATTGACTGTGGACAAGGAGGTGAGAAAGCCTTGGAAGAGATAATGCATGGACAATTAGCAACAGTCATTCAGGAGGTTCTTCAGATTTGGCTTGACAACTGTGCTGATTCCATCACAGAAATGGATGAGGTGGAGAGGGACTGCTTGCTCAAGAGGGACCAGATTGTAAGATCGAAATCGATTGAGGTTGATCTGACTGCAAATCTTCCGAGGATGTTTGGTCCGGATGTGTCCAGTCGGGTCATAACTGAAATCCGTAAGGCCTTTGGTGTACAAGAGCCCTAAGTCATTCATAAATACAAGCATGTACTTAGTTTATTGTAGAGAAACGTTGTTATGGGTCGATAAACCCTCTTGTTTGAAAAGCTGAAAGTATATGTGATAAGCTGTGTATGTACTGCCAAGTGATAACTGAGATGCCTTGCAAAAAAAAAAAAAAAAAAAAAAAAAAAAAAAGAAAAAAGAGATAACTGAGACGATGAAAGCGAGCTATGCAGGTGAAGATGATCTAATGTTAGGTCCAGGTTTCCAGGAGCAGAGTCTCATCACAGAGTTCCTAGTAAGCTATTCATGCTGTATTGAATGGAGCTCTGTATTTTTCCGCATCTTGTCCTGTCTATATATCATAAATAAATGATACAACCATATTGTTCCATGTCAAAGCCGAACTCGCGGTAACATGTAATGATGTACTGTTCGATAAAATCGCACACGCGTGATTTCTTTTCCTACGAGATTCCTTTTGATCCAAAGGGGGCTTGAAATAAGTAGCTAGTGTCTTTTGGGCATCGGTGTTTTGTCCCCTCTTGGGCGTTGGATAACCCGTGACAGCCGTTCCGGTTATGTATTTGCTGGACTTGTATCTTTTGGAGTTTGACAGTATGATGAAATTTTGTTTCTCAATTAAATTCACGTATGTATCCAATTGTGCATGATAATACGTAAGGAGTCCCTGGCAACGGTCGAGATTAGGAAAGTAGCATGGACGAGTTTTTGAATTCAATGTGTGAATTCATATTGTCTTCAGAGTAGTCAAATGATTGAGGATAAGATGTCCAAGTATCTTCAAAGTATAAAAGGAAATGAGAATTCCAGCCGAAATGCGTTCATAATCACTTTGGGATTGTTATGACATTTTACATGGAGTATTCATTTATACCAACATGAACGTTTGACTGCCTTTTAATTTTTATCGGATCCAGTCTTTCTCCCCATGGGAGACAGGAAAAAGAAAGGCAACCCCAAAGTTATCAGAAAGGCAACACCAAAGTCTTGCAAGGGGAGGGAGCATAACTCAAACGCAAAAGGCTTGAAGGTAAAACTGCAAATTGGGAATCCATGCATGCTACGGATAGAAAAGGAGAAGTTTGAATTTAACGAGTGCCTCAGATGAACGCTTTGGAAGTGGATATCACCATGCCTGTGCAGCAGGACATTCATCCAGAATTCACCAATTGCGTGAATCATCACTGGCACGCCGACCAGGGGGGTGTTTGTTAGAAAAAGAGACGAACTCCAAACAAGTCGTGCTTCAGATCGATCTGGAGACGAATTAAGGCATGCAGAATCCTCTGAGATCGATCTCGCGAAAATACAATTGCAGCGCCAAGAAAAGTATTAGAGCGCAGGCTCTGCACTGGGGGTAGGGCTGCAGCAAACAACAAGAAGTCAAGAACTGGACCAGAAAAACAGATTTGATGTGCAAGAACCCCGGCAAAAGGAGACGAAAATTGGTCACACCAAGAAGCAAGAACTACACAACATAGTAGTACTGTTCGACAATTTTGCCACCAAAAAGCATGGTTCTAAACGAGCGGTGGTGGAGAGGCGAGCCTGGAAGGGTGGTACTGGGTAGTGGATAGCCTCAATAAATAGTCTGGCGGCCGTGGGATGAACGGACGGACGGCAAAGATGGATATGGACATGGACACGGACACGGACGACAGATGCGCTGCACGCCAACAGCTCCGCGTTGCTTCACACCGACGGATCATCAGTTCCGCCTCTGTCGCCGACTTACAATGTGTTTTGGTTGGAGGGATTTGTAGGGACAGGATTGTTGTTGTTTCGATGGGAGTCGGCTATGGCAGGGACATCCCATCTAGCATATTTCCCTCAGATTCCTTGACTCTGCATTCCATTTTTTTAATGAAATCAGTTCCTTTTGTTGTTGCCCTGCCATGTTCAACAATTTGGTCATGGATTTGCTAAATTTAAAGTGTGTGAATTTTAGCTTTCTTTTAGACGATGACTTACATATATATTTTAGGTTAAAATTACAGTTTTAGTTTGTTATAATTTTTAGGTATAATTTGTAATTTTGTGATCCAAAAATACAAAGTCTGATAGACAAAACTATAAACCTGACAAAATCTGATCTTGTGCTGGCATAAATCAGCACAAAGGTAATTAACAATTATTTCTATAGTAATACAAAGACAAAAATTTAATATATTATTACAACACAAAAACAATTTAACAAATTACAAAACATACCTTCTCTTCGAGTTTCCAACCCAAAAACTACAGTCGAGCTCGATTTTGAGGTGGGTGCCCAGGCCCCGGGGTCGACTCAGACCATGTGGGGTCACTCCTAGTCTCCCACCCTCGCTAGAGGCTAGGCGGGGGAGACCGAGGGTTTCTCACACGTTGTAAAACGAATACAAGCGTGACTCGTGAGGGTATCCCGTAGGGAGAACAAGAAATAAATACGGATTAATTGCCCAATAAATTACCAAAATGGCCTTGTGTGAACAATAGAGTCCCTAGGTATTTATAGGCCAAACCTGGGTCTCTAATGAAATTACAAAAGGGTTGGCGGGTGGTCAACAACACTAGTTCAATGGCTGAGGGTAGTGAGGTAATCCTCCGTACCTTGCCCAACTACTCCTAACCCTAACTGGGGAGTGGGGGCCGTCGCCGGCTTCCTATCTGGCCATGCCCGCGGTCATTGGTGAACCTTGGTCGCACCAATCGGAGGTCCTCCTGTCCGTCTGTCGGTCCTGCGCCCTCTTTACGATTTGCGACCCTCGGGCCAAATCCTGCCGCCAATACCTGAAATAAGAGGATGAGGAGGGGAACCTTCGCCGCAAGGATTATGGGCCGCGGCCCAGTCGGCTACAAGGCCCAGAGCGAGGTCGGGACGGCTGAGCGGGGGGGGTCGCGTTAGGGGCGCCTCCCCCCAACAGTAGTCCCTTGAGGGTTTGGCCCAGCATGATGGGTCAGAGCAGTGAAAATTGTGGACGGGAGACAGGCGAGGGTAGCTTGCCTGCACCCCGACGCCCCGGCTGCGCTTGACCGTTGAGGGCCTGTAACCATTTTCTTGTGTTTGGCTCAGTGCCCTCTTCTTTTTAGGCGGTTGCTGTTTGCTGTTTTGATGTGACCCCTGATTGTCGGAGTTGGTTCCATGATTTTTTGGGATTTGGGTCGGCGGTTCTTCATGCGGCTGGTGCCGTGAGCCTATAAGTAGTGGGGGTAGGTGGTGTGTTTGCTTCATTCGACCTCGTTGCTAGGCGCTTGCTGTCGCTTGGAAGTGTAAACAAGGGTTGCCTTTGAAGCGAAGGTCACTTTTGAGGCGAGGGTTGCTTTGGCCATTTTGGTTTTGGGCTTTACTCTATAGAGGTAAGTGGCCGATGTAGTCGTTGTTGTTTTAGCGCATTTCGCTTGTGTTGGTTGAAACTGATGCTCTTCGTTGGTGGTTGTTTGTCTAGGTCTATGGCTCTTGTGAGGAAGACAACTAGGCCTTTTGAGACCTCTGGAGCTACTGATGCTATGGTGGATGAAGCTGTAAGCTTCGAGTTTGGTCCCAACAAAGTTATGCTGGAGGATTTGGATTTCTTTGCACAATGTGGTTGGTTCCCTCATGATTTGGCGAGGTTGCTGGAGGAGGAGGAGGTGGTTCCGAAGCCTCACGATGACGTGGTTGTGGTTTATAGAGAATTTTTCTTGGCTGGGCTAAGGTTCCCCGTGCATCCACTGGTTGTTGGGGTTTTTGAAGAGGTTCAACCTTCGGTTCCACCAGCTAAATCCTTCAAGCATCATGAAGCTATTAGTTTATGTCTGGGCATGCAAATCGCATGGGGTGGAGCCAGATCTTGAGGGGTTTGTGCGAACTCATAGGGTTCATACCCAGCCTTGCAAGATTCAGCTTGATAGGAAGCCCGTTGCTGGGCAGTTTGGAGTTCATTCTTTTTGTTATCATCACGGGGTGGAGGTTCTCGTGTAGGCATTGGAAAACAAGTGGGCTTCACCGTGGACCGAGCATTGGATTTATCGCAAGCTGAGCGGGGAGCCAGAGCTCTGTCGAAGGTTTTAGGAAAGGGCAATACCCGCAGCAGGGGTGAAAGCTGTTTACAAGGAGGTGGCGAAGGCTGTTGAGGAACTTGTTGGTAGTCTCGGGACTACGGAGATCAAGGCGCTATCAGCTGCTCTTGACGATCGGCATAGGCTCAATCGTCTTTACGACTTGCTGGGCTTGACGTACCCGGATTAGCCGTTGCCAGATCCGACGGACGCTTGTGTTAGCAAGACTAGTGCGACTAAGAAGAGAAAGAGGGTGGAGGTGACAGATAAGCCAGTCGGTGCTTCGAAGCGCGGAGGTTGGGGGCGTGGCCGGACTTGGTGTTGGTATTTCTTAAATACTCTTGTAATTGCGATTGAGAAAATATATTATATATAAAGCATTATGCAAGCGCACAGAGATACCATTGTAGCACTTCACCTGGGAGTATTCCAAGTATCGTTATTTATATTTTTTACCTCAGGGAAGGACTGACAAAGGAGATATATTGATAACTTATACTTATGATGGATGAACCAACCAACCTTCCACTCTAAATATGGGTAAATCAAGAGATAGGATAATATATATAAATGATAATCATGGCTATGATAGCAATAGCAAGACTAAGTATATACAATAGAGAAACTAATTCCTAAGTCATTCTTAAATACAAGTCAAAGTATACTTTGATTGTGCAATTATACTTAATAATCATGGCTAAAGATTAACTTCATATCTACACATAAGGGACATTACTAAGGAAGATCAAGAACAGAGCCTGACTTCCATCACAACCATGTCCTACTTAGCCTACAGACGGAAGGTGGACTACAAAGGACTCAACGAGGCTGTCACCCTCGCAATCTACCACACGATCCAGAATGTAGGGTACATCCGCAGGTAAACAACGTATAAGCACCACGCTTACACAATGTCGACTACTCACCCCGCACGTACTTAAGAGCGAGCGCTTTGCAAACTTATGCATAAACATAATGATAAT